AGTGTGGGCACTCAGGGCACTCCAAGCCAGGACTGCGTTTGCAAGCGGGCAACCTTGAGAACTGTCTGTCCGGGGTGGGGGTCGGGTCCCTTTAAGCACAGCCCTCGGCTAGCCTGAGACAGCAGCTCCACGCTCTAAGTCCTCATCTGATGCCCTGCCGGCACTGCTTCCGGCCATCCTTAACCCCGGTTCAGGGTCCACTTAATGTGGACATGCTAGTTCGAATTAGCAAAACGCTAATTCGAACTAGTTTTTAGTTCTAGACGCGTTAGTTTGAATTAGCGCTGTAGTGTAGACATACCCTAAGGGACTGAGGGGGAAATGCTTACATTCCTCGCATTCCTCTCACACCTGGCTGGTGAAGGGAAGGGCAATTGTGTATACATGGGCAGTGCCCTTCACTCAAACCTAGGGCTGTCACTACACTTCAAAGGCGGAGGCGCCCTATCGACTAATCAAATAGTCGATGCAAAATGTGATTAATCAATTACTCAATATTTAACATCTCTAGTCCTGGCTGCCAGTCCTACTCCCAGAGCTCCATGCCTGCCTCCAGCCGAGGTCCCAGCCTCAGCCCCCTTACTCCTGTCTGCGCCCCCTCAGCCCCTGAGATCCAGGCTGCAGCTTTGGTGGGGAGAGGGGAGGACACATACAGACAGAGGTAAGGAGGGGTGTGAGGTAAAGAGTTTGGGGACCACTGCCGTAAGAGCTCTGCCCCGTCAAACACAGGTTAAGACCTAGGTGCTCTTGTGTACGCCTTGTGGTTCAGGAGTGCCAGCTTTCTAGGAGAGCAGCTTACCTCACCTCCTCTCTCATGACCCACTGGGGCCTGCATTCAGGTGGGAGCAGCACAGAAGGGGTGTGCAGTGAAGAGGTTTCTCTTGCTTCCCCCAGGTTTAGCTGCTGTGCCGTGTAGACATGCCCCAGGAGAAGCAGAGGGAGACACAGAGCATCAGGAGTCAAAAAGCCTCCCAGAGACTGCATGCTCTCTCCTTCACCCCTTCCAGGATGCAGCCAGCCAGCTCTGGGGGCCAGTACCTGAGGGGGCAGAGCATTCATGTCTCCTCTCCCCCTTTGGGGCACTGCACGGCTCCAGGAGAAGGCGGGGGAGGGGAGGTGCCATCCTTGTGAGTGCAAGATTCTGATTCTGCCTCAGCCAACCGTGAGGACCATGCAGATGGGGGACGGAGCCTTGTGCTTGCTCCCTCTCTGCATAGCCACAGCTGGGACCAGGCATGCCTGGCCCCAAATGAACCTTTCCTCACCCCAGTTTTCCAGGAGCCATCCAGGATGGCTAGGGGAGCAGTAGAAGTCCTGCAGTGTAAGAAAGGACCTCAGGCCTCAGTTCGGACGGGTAGGAATGGTGTCCCTAGCCCCTGTTTGTCAGAGGCTGGAAATGGAAGACAGGAGAGGGATCGCTTGATGATTCCCTGTTCTGGTCACTCCCTCTGGGGCATCTGGCATGGGCCACTGTCGGTAGACAGGATACTGGGCTAGATGGACCTTTGGTAGGCCTCCGGCAATAATTACTGTCTACTGTCATGAGTTATTGGTACCCAGAAGTGATACACACAGCAAATCCCCAGAGAGCTCCTACTCTATGCAGGCACTTCCTCTCAAAACCCTCTACATCCATGGTCACCAACCAGTAGATCGCAATCTACCGGTAGATCTCAGGGGTTCTAAGAGTAGCTCTTGAGCCCTCTCTGAACTGCGCACCTGCGCAGTACATTTACATTAGATTTCCTCATGTAATGTAGGCGGAGCTTCAAGGAAGGGGCGGGGCAGTAGATCTTCGCCTGTTCTGAGACTTAAAAAGTGATCTTGGGTATAAAAAGGTTGGAGACCACTGCTCTACATTGACTCTATAGAAAGCCCTCAACATAGCCAACACGCCTCTGGGGTCAGTGGGAGTATAGACACATTCCTCAGTGCTGTGACCTTGCACCCCGTATTCTCTAACTCGCATATGCTTTGTGCAAATACTTCAGGTAAGATATCATTAGAAAAGGGATAATATAGTATATATATGTATTATGAGAGTGTATATTCCATTTGTGTGCATGTACCATTCCTGATTTGGAGTTGGAAATATGAAGTATAAACCTGTTTTATTAATCTAGACATGCTAAGTGAGGGCCACGAGGAGTACTTAAGGAATGTAACGGCCTGGTACTCAGGACAATGATC